GATGAGCTACAGAGGAGCTTTAACTCAGCTGACGGCAGAGTGGACCTGTTCAGAGCGACAGCTATAGGAAACCAGAATCGCCCACCAGAGGATTGCCCAGCCGGTGCTATGTCCAGCTTTGTAGCTCCAGAAGTCAAAAAATTTGTGGCTTGGGACTATGTTGTTTTTGCAGGACTGTTTTTAGTATGCGCTAGCATTGGAGTCTTTTTTGCAGTTAAAGAAAGGAAAAAGAAAACTTCAAAGGAATTTTTGGTGGGGGGTAAGCAGATGACATGCGGACCAATAGCTTTCTCGCTCACATCCAGTTTCATGTCAGCAGTCACCGTTCTGGGGACACCTTCTGAAGTTTATCGCTACGGAGCATCATTTATTCTCTTCTTTCTTTCATATGCGCTTGTCATCATTTTTACTGCCGAACTTTTTCTACCTGTATTTTACAGATCTGGCATTACAAGCACTTATGAGGTAAGTAAAAATAATAAAAGGCACTATTCTAACATAAAAGTGAGTACCATGTATATAGATACTTCTAGAAAAAAAAAACCTGACAAGACTTTCTGCAATGTTTAACAGAAGTGTATTGATATATTAATTATTTTAGCAACTGTTTGCATTACTTCAAACTAGTTATTTATACTGCTTAAGTTGAAAACACAAATTAAGAGTCAGAGCTCATGTTATGCATATGTAGCAAAGGCACGATAAGAGTTGACACACCAGCACCAAACTAAGTTACAGCTGGAAAATAAAGTGTATCCAAATGGTTTTGGTCTTATAAGTAACTATTCTGCTCAGGTTTTGAGTATTAAAGAGGTATTAAAGACAGACTTCAAGAACAAAATTCAATAATGCCCATTGAAAGTTGGTCTAGATATGGAAAATTGGTTCAGTTTACTATAGAAGTAGACTATTTTTCATCAAACAAGCTGAGCAGGGAGGAAAGGATAAAGAGGAAGATAATGTCGGGTCTCTCAAAAAAAAGAAAAAGTCAGGGCTGAAGTATGAACAGAGGGGTTCTTCAGGAAATTAAATAAAAAGAATGAGCTCTGAATTTCTAGAGGTTTTGCCTGGAACACACTAGTTCCTTCATATGACAGGTCAGCAGTTAAAATATAAAAATCCATAGCCCTTGTGATGTTATCAGTAGGAGCACAATGTGCAGCCTTGTTATCTGCACACCCATGGGACAGCTTTTGAGCATTTGGAGATAACCTTTTAATCAACTGCTGCAAATTTGATCGCTCCTCTTTGTGGGCAGTTTTAACAAAGCAAGAATCGGGCGAAGAAATCCGGGTTAGTTTGCGAGGAGCTGCGTGGTAACAGCCTGCTCATGTTCTCCAGACCCAAACACAAGGAGGGGCTTGGGTCGAACAGCTGTGCCTGGGTATTTGGAAATATTTCAGTTTCAGGTTGAGAAAAAGTAAAATTGACCATCTATTCCCACTGCAACAAGTAACTGCATTTTCTAGCTGGTTTTGATGCAAGATCAGAGAATGAATTCCTTCACTCATCTGAACCACTGAAGGTGTCATTGTAGCTAAAAAGACCCTTTGAGCATGCTGGAAAAACAATTCTGTGAGCTTCATGGATTTTTTTTAGAAACAAGTCATTACATGAATTAGCTACTCATTTGTATGGCAGACTATAGGCTTATCATGCAGGAGACACAAGAATGATGAACATGAACGAAATTAATAAGAAAGCTGCTGCTTTGAAAGTATTATGCCTAGAGACTTGTAAAAGAGACAAGATCTGTACTGCCTTTGCCTGGTGTCTGCTGGGGAGCACTCGGAATTACAGCCCAAGGACCCAGCCCAGCCTGCGCGGGAGGCGCCCACAGGGGTAGCAACATGGATTTCATATTTCTGGTCAACTCTGTAGAGAGATTCCAGGTGGTGACTTGGTCTTAAAACCTGGGCTTTTAGGGCTAGAGATCTATTCCCCGCTACAGTTGGGCGGAAATTGGGAACACCTCTCTACACCCATCTCAAAGTCCCTAAGAACGTCACTTGCTTCGCCATATTGGTGATGTGCAGATTTGGCTTTAGACCGAGAGAATGAGAAAGCTTAGCTCATGCACTATGAAACTATGTTGTTGCTTCTCCATTTGCTTCACCAATTTTGACAGTCCCAGTTTGACTCCTGTAGTGACATTCCTCCCAGCGATGACCTCAAGTTTCCTCTTCATATAGTTGGAATATACTTTCATTTGAAGTTCAAATTTATTTTCCATGTAGTTTTTGTTATTTCTGATACAAAGCAGATACTGATTACTACAACTCAATGTGTCACTTCAAGTACATGCTACTGATGAGAAGATTTCTTAAATGTAATTATTGCTACGTGTAATAACAATCATGCTCTCCTGCTCATTACTCATAGCAGTAGTGCCAGCTGCCAGTAATTGTACTAGCATAGCAAGCTGTTACTCAGGGCCAACAGGAGGTTAATAGCTTGACAGATGCTACATGTGCAATTCACTGAGTTTCCACTTTTTCCTAGTATTTGGAGTTAAGATTTAACAAGATTGTCCGTCTTGCTGCAACACTGATTTACATCCTGCAGACGGTAAGACATTGACTCTCTGTTTATGCTAATTGCACTCAACATTTATTTTGACAGACTAATCTCAGACTGTGCATTTTTGATAATGAGATGTTTTAATGAGTAGTTTTTTTAATTAATTTTTTTGACTTGGACGGCAAATACTAAAAAGAAAGAATGGTTGCTTTCCTAACTTTCAAGTTTTCTTCTGTTTGGCGTTAAAAATGCCATTTTTGACTTTGACACTTGGATGTTGTACTGAACTCTCACAGTTTCTCAAATTCTGCGTCTCATCGTGTTCCCTTGAAGGCTCTTCTCTTTCCAAATGAGCAGGTTCTGCCTCTCTTGAGAAGCTGGATGAGTTGTACTGGATATATTTCGTTCACCAGTTACCCATTTATGACACCGGGGTGAGGCTATTCTATTGCAAAGCTGTTGCACGTGGCAAGGGCTGCTCCCAGCACCAGATCCCAGGGACTAAGCCCAGCAGCCCACACGGCAGAAATCACTGTGCACAGACTCCACATTTGTGTACTGCTCTGCAGTACCCTAAACCAGACTACCCAGTCCACATCCGTGTGTGTAGGTAAAGTAAGTAACACTCCTGGCTCTTGGACTGAGAGGCTGAGCGGAGACTAGCTTTAATTACCCCCAAAACACTACTTTACTATTTTACTTTACCTACTTCCTTCACCAAAAGAAACCAAACTTAAGGAGCCAACCAAGGCACTACTGTAGACATCAAATAGCTTCTTTTTTGGCCTGTGGTGACAGAACAAGAGGTAATGGGTTTAAATTGAAAGCAGGGAGATTTAGATTGGACATCAGGAAGAAATTCTTCCCGGAGAGGGTGGGGAGGCACTGGAACAGGTTGCCCAGAGAAGCTGTGGATGCCCCATCCCTGGAAGTGTCCAAGGCCAGGCTGGATGAGGCTTGGAGCAACCTGGTCTAGTGGAAGGTGTCCCTGCCCATGGCAGGGGGGTTGGAACTGGTTGGTCTTTAAGGTCCCTTCCAACCCAAACCATTCTATGGTTCTATGATTTTTTTTGCCATTTGATTTAAAGCTTCATCAAGTTTCTCAAATTATTACATTATTTATGTATTTAATGGAAAGTTCTGGGACATTGACAGACATTTCTTTCAAATTCCATAAACTTTTGTAAAAATTGAAAAGCTTATTGACTTCCAGGCTTGGTTTCTCCCTCTATTCTTTTGGAACATACATGTGAAGGTCAATGAGTCAGCTACTTTGAACAGAATTCAGAAGAACAAGGGAAGTTTAATTTGTAAGATCTGTCCCAGACTCCTTTAGGCTGGAAAATACCTTTAAGATCACCAAGTACAACCATTAACCCAGCACAGCCAAGTCCACCCCTAAACCATGTCCCCTAAGCACCATCTATGTGATCTTTAAATACCTGTAGGGTGACGCTACCACCTCCCTGGGCAGCCTGTTCCAAGTTCCAGTGCTTAACAACCCTTTCAGAGAAGAAATTTTTCCTCACATCCAATCTAAACCTCCCCTGGTGCAACTTGAGGCCATTTGCTCTTGTCCTACTGCTTATCACTTGGGAGAAGAGACCAACCCCCACCTCTCTGCACCCTCCTTTCAGGGAGTTGTAGAGAGCAATAAGGTCTCCCCTGAGCCTCCTCTTCTCCAGGCTGAACACCCCCAGCTCCCTCAGCCGCTCCTCACAGGAATTGTGCTCCAGACCCTTCCCCAGCTCCGTTCCCTTCTCTGGACACGCTCCAGCACCTCAGTGTCTTTCCTGTAGTGAGGGGCCCAAAACTGAATCCAGGATTCAAGGTGTGGCCTCACCAATGCCCAGCACAGGGGGACAATCACTTCCCTAGTCCTGCTGGCCAGGCTGTTCCTGATACAACTGATATTTGTGATCTCTCTGCCTCACTGTGTGTTATCCTGAGAGTCCCTCTTTCCATTTGCCTAGGGTATGCTTGTCATCTTAGTAAGGGGTGAAAGAAGTAATACCAAGACAGATAACGGCCCTTCCAGCAGAAAAGAATGAAATAAAAGATTTTAATTTTGCAAAGGCTGAAACAGAAAACCATATACAATACAAGCTGATCTAAAGAAACTTCTTGATCTGGTATATTGCTTTGGGCACCACTCTGAACGGAAGTCTTATCACTGAGTATTCACAGACATGATTATTTTTCATGAATTTTTTCTCCTTCAGATCCTTTACACCGGAATAGTGGTTTATGCTCCATCGCTGGCACTCAACCAAGGTGAGTTCCCATGCCACACTACATGGCTGCCCCAATTACACACACCAGATGTCAATTAGAATAAATGAATTGAGAAAAATGAAGAAGCCTAAATAAAATTCCTCAGAGGTTTGTGTGAAGGTTTTCGTCTGCACCTCGTAGCTTTGCCTTTCCCACTCCCCAGATCTCTCTCACACCAGCACATAAGCAGGAGCCTCGCATTCGCTGTTCTGCTCCCCTGTGCACTCAGTAACCACCCGAAGGGGTTAGCAACGAACGATTTCTCAACATCCTGACAAAGTTCACGGTACAAGCTGATGATCCAAGACGCATTCTGTACTTTGATTCTCCCCTTCGCTGTCTCCCATGTTCAGGTTCCCATGGGCATAACTCCATTCCCTGGAGTGGGAGCTGAATGCTGTGCTGCTTTCCACACACGTTAACTAGTCTTTGCCAACAGGCTTACAGCATCCATGATGACAGATGGAGTTTGCAATTTTACTGCATAAAGGCATAAGGAATCACCATGGCCCAACTCCTAATTTCACCAAAATCTATTGGGAAGAGATTGGGAGGCACTTTGGGTTCGTTAGCTGAGTTGCATACAGTTTGCTCAATCCCACCTCTCACACAGTGCCAAGATTCCTTCCTCTGGAACTCAACTGCATTTCATGTGACAGTTCACGTTCGTTATGAGGCCATGCTGACTTTGCTAAGAAGAGAACCCTGAAAAAAATGATTTGCCCTCACAAACAACACCTGGTGGGAAAGACTTCGACATAGGCCAAACCTAAATTTGTACATCTTGTATAAAGTAACTTTATGAAGTAAAAATGAACATGCAAAATTATTATAATACAGCACATTTTTCTGTTAAGTTGCAGGGAATGGAATTTATTTTGGGGCTGGGTTTTTTTCTTAGGATTCTTTGGAAATCTCTGAAGAACCTGATTTCTCAACAGAAAATTCTGGACTAAGAACAGAAGCAAAGCATTTCTCATAAAGCTGTGTCCCACAGGAATAATGTTTCTGCTTTATGCAATTATTCTTCTTATGTATGATTTTTGCCTGCTTGAAAGTGAGTTGCAAATCTAATTTGCAAGAAAAGAACACTGCAAAAGAGTATCCAGTAGTGTTGAGAAACCTGAACAGTCCAGCAGAGCTCCTAATAGGCATAAAATATTAAGATTAGTAATTACTCCCATCCTTCTATGGCTAAGGATCATAGCTCTTCTGTTACCACCCAGAGAACCTACCCCCATTTCGCTAACCATTTGGTTTTCTTTGGTTTCACAGTCACCGGGTTTGATCTCTGGGGCTCTGTAGTTGCAACAGGAATTGTCTGCACTTTCTACTGCACTCTGGTACGTAACAGGCATAACTGACCAGCTGGAAAACAGACTGTTAATGCAGTCATCCTTTATACTTGACAGGCTACCGCAGAAGGGCCGCTTCTACATACAGTCCAAGTGACTGAACTTTAAAGTAGTAGAAAATAGAGATAAATTTCCTTTAGACTCTGTGGTATAAGTAACTCTATTTGGAGAAAAGAAATATTTTCTCTCAACTCCTCTGCTGTATGTCTCAAGGTTTAAACCAGACAGCTCTAGGCAGAGTCCAGATAAGGAGGTGATAACCTTCCCCTGCCATACTAAATCTTTTGAGAGGAGGATTCTTCTTATCTTTTACAAGTTAGAGACTGAAAAACACTGTAATGAAAAATGTGCCTCTGGTGTCACCCCGGATCAAGAACAGAGTGATAAAACCTAGGAAGGATGATCAGCGGGTCACAGAGAGCTTTGCTTCTGAGCGCAAGCACCACGAGACTCCAGATGACAAAAAAAGATAAGCATCACGGCGAAGCAGCAGAGCCCTGGGGCTCAGGACACAACCTAATTTCTGTTCTCGTTACCTCCAGGGAACTTTCTCAGTATTTCAGTCAACCCTTGTAGAAAACGCTCATTATGTTGCTCTAGTACAGATTTGATAAAACAGGCAGGTAGCTATGGAAGAAAGATGCAAATTTGCTGGAGGTATTTTTCTGTGTCAGGCGAATTGTGGACCGCTGGGCTTGGAGGAGTGTACAGAGGGGTATGGGAGGTACCACCAGGCCAGATTGCACTCCCTAAGCTTTCGTTCCACACCACTGTTCAAATACATGTAAAAGGAGGCAGAAAAAAGGCGTTTAACTGAAGGTCAAATATTCTCATGTGACTGCGGACATTTAGGCTGTGTGATTTTCCGACCTGCAAAAATACCACCTTCATGGGAGACTACAACTTTGAGTCCTGATTTGCTAGATACTATACATACAAGCTCACAAGCTCCTGAAATAAGGGGTCTTTCTGCCTTTTGCTATACCTGAACAACAGGAAGGAAGATGAAAGCAGACAGTTTCTGTTTGTTTTAGGGAGGCTTAAAAGCTGTTGTCTGGACAGATGCATTTCAAATGATTGTCATGATCGTTGGCTTTGTGACGGTTTTGATTCGAGGAACTACTCTGAATGGTGGATCGACCAAGGTCTGGGAAGATGCCTACGAGGGATCACGACTAAACATATTTGAGTAAGAGACAAACCTCTTCTTTTTGTACGTTTAATGTTTAGAAACCCCACCCTCACTAAACCAAAAGTACTCAGCCTTCTTACACTACCAGTGAACAACCTCAGTGACTCTGAGAAGGCTATTCCCCAATTCTTCCATTCCTGGGAACACAGCTGACCTTTCCAGGAGAGATTACCTCTTCTTTCTGTTACCCCCTTTGAAGAAATCAAAGCCCTTCTGAACTCAACGAAGCTTTGCCATTTTTCTTTGTGCAGCCACAAAACCAGCCCAATTATTCCTTGAGTTATATATATCTATTTTCTTGTCATAAAATCTGGCACTTGATTTTAAGTACCCCCACCACAGTAGGTAGCAATGGTGCACCAACACACCAGGATAGCAAACTGACCTTCCTTTGGCTGTTTGTGGCCTTGACTGAAAAGTTCATTGATCAAGGCAAGTCCCTGACAGAATCTAGCAGCAAGGTCAAACGCTATCTGCCACGCACATCCAGATTAGCAGAACTGCAAAGATGACAGATGCCAGACAAAGATGTACTCGTACCTGTTAGACTTACTGAGTAATGAAATTTCATTGTAAAAAAAAAAAAGCTAACGCTGCAGCTGAAGCAATTTCTTGCAAGGAAATAACACCCTATGATGATGTAACTGAGTTAGGAGGATTTTAAGAATGTAGTAAGAAGCTTTGTTGATGCAGAAGATGGGGTCCCAGGCAGGATGGCTTATAGGTCTGTTGCTGGAATATGGCAGATCTGAAATCAGAGCGTAAAAAGCCTGATAAATGTGATTTATCTCAACTAATTGGTTCTCTGACCAAGTCCACATGATATATGTTTATTCTGACTTGGCATTAAGGTGTTCCAATGTAAAAGTAAATAAAAAGCCTTCCAAACCTAAAAACGTTAGGCGCTGCCTGCGCTGGAAACCAGTATTACCAGTGCAGTACTTCGGATTCAGAGGGTAGGACAGACCAGGTATTTCTGAAAAATTACCTACCTCTTGCTAAAGAAATGTGTTTTTAAGTAAGTGAACTGAATTGCTTCTTTCTCTCTCTCTCCCAGCTTTGATGCCGACCCTTTGAGACGACATACCTTTTGGACAATTGTTATCGGGGGAACATTTACATGGCTAGGGCTCTATGGGGTTAATCAGTCCACAATCCAGAGATGCATTTCTTGCAAATCGGAAAAGCACGCTAAACTGTAAGTTACTTGTCATTAACCTATTCTAGCAACCAAACATACTGATGTGGAATTACACCAAATTTGTCACTTATGTTAAATAAATACCGGGATCCTGCTGGGCAGTAGTAAGCTAATTTTGCATAGACAGTCTTACTTCCTCTGACCCTAAACAACATCAACTAATCCAGAATGAAAAATGGGTTGCTAACTCTTTCAATTTATTAATTTGGGGTCAGACTGAGAAATTAATCCTCAGAAGCGGAGTATGGAAGAGATGCCCAAAGAGAAGTTGTGCTATCTACAGCTTTATTGGAAAAACATATTTATTGGAATGGTGTTTATGCTGCATTTTATTAAGAGTGGTTATTGATTTAATGGGGCAATATGGGACAAAGCACGATTTAAATAAAATGAGATCAATAAGTTATTTAAATTCTAAAAGATAAGAATAATTAGAATCAAAGGTAAAGAACCAAGTGAAAGCTCACGAAGTAGGTGTGTATAGGTCTCCAGTCTGCTACCTTCCTCAAGTTCAGCATTAGCATGTGCATAGGCAGACACCTTTTACTAAACCACCAGACTTTTTCATACACCTAGTGCTAACTGCTTGTCCCCTTGGCTAAAGCACAAGGGCTGTATTCTTTTCCTTCTTCAAACAGTTGCTTTTTTGTTACCTGCAATCACACTCATTTTTCTTAAGGTCATGACAGATTACATGAATTTACCCTCTGAAATTCAGATTCTGAAAATGTTTGGAAGTCACAACAGTGAGAACATCACTAGTTACACGTCCTGAAAGACCTTTGGGTCCCAGTAGCACATCTTCGAACTGGCCCAAGAAAGAGACCTTGTGTAAGGTGACACCCAAACACAATGTCGGCTCTGCAAAATCCAGCAGCTCTCAGGAACTACAGGATTACTGAACTGCAGCCACACAACCGCCCTAGCAGATACCCACACCCATTTCACGGCCTGGTGAAAACACCCCAAGTGTGTTACTTTGCAACAACAGCATTGACAGAATCCACGCTAAATAATACTCTGCATGGCTCAAAGGGAGCACAGCACCAACACCTCCTGACAGACAAACCTCTGCTCTTACAGGGGACAGGAGGGACAGACGCAGCGCTCAGGGCAGCCTCTTCTGCCTACAAGTTATTGGTGTCACACCATCCTCTTCCAGCTGTACAGAGTTACAGAAAGCCTTGCCCTAGAGCAGAAAGGGGCTGTATTTTTTCATGTTTTTAAAAATCAGTTACACACAATTTCTTATTCTGGTGATGCCTTTAAGAGATTACAGAAGATAGCTTTGACTAGGGTTTCTCTCTAAAAAGTTAGAAATAACTAACTTGTAACAGCTTTTCTATATTTACCTAGTATTAACAAGAGATTCTCTTCTTTCTAGGGCCCTTTACTTGAATTTACTGGGACTGTGGACAGTTCTGGTGTGTGCAGTATTTTGCGGTTTGGTGATGTACTCTCATTACAAGAGTTGTGACCCTTGGACCGCTGATTTCATTTCAGCACCTGATCAGGTACCCATTATCATAATTAGGACCCGTTGTGGGCACAGACACTGCACACTTAGAAACAGTTTAAGTTTTGTTGGATGTTTTATGTCCTTTCAGTGCTCAAGCACTACAGTGGTTGCCGAATCAGGACTAGAATGTATCTGTGCTGGCAGTCCTGTGTTATTTTCACCAAGTGACACCCCCTTTGCTCAAAATCTGACACCCCTTGTTACTTGGAACAAAATCAGAATTTAAGCAACATGCTCAGATGCAGGTACTGTTCTTCCATTACCCAGGAAACCCTTAATTAATTGCTTTTGTTGCTCTTGTGCTCCTTCCACCTCAGCTCATGCCGTATTTTGTTATGGACATTTTTTCTTCGATGCCGGGAGTCCCAGGACTGTTTGTCGCCTGCGCGTTCAGTGGAACACTAAGGTCTGTGAATCTGAAACGACGTTTTAGCTGTGTACCGCTCATTTCTTGAGGGCCCAAAACGAGGTCAAAACATGACTGTATCCTGGGCTGCATCGGAAGTGTGGCCAGCAGGTTGGGGGAGGGGATTCTCCTGCTCTGCTCTCATGAGACCCCACCTGGAGTGCTGCGTCCAGCTGTGGAGCCCTCAGCATCAGAAGGCTATAGACCAGTTGGAGCGAGTCCAGAGGCGGCCACGAAGATGCTCCGAGGGCTGGAGCCCCTCTGCTCTGGGGACAGGCTGAGAGAGTTGGGCTTGTTCAGCCTGGAGAAGAGAAGGCTCCGGGGAGACCTTATAGCCCCTTCCAGTGCCTGAAGGGGCTACAAGGGAGCTGGGGGGGACTTTTTACAAGGGCCTGTAGTGACAGGACAAAGGGTAATGGCTTTAAACTGAAAGTGGGGAGGTTTAGATTGGATATCAGGAAGAAGTTCTTCCTGGAGAGGGTGGGGAGGCACTGGGACAGGTTGCCCAGAGAAGCTGTGGATGCCCCATCCCTGGAAGTGTCCAAGGCCAGGCTGGATGAGGCTTGGAGCAACCTGGTCTAGTGGAAGGTGTCCCTGCCCACGGCAGGGGGGTTGGAACTGGATGATCTTTAAGGTCCCTTCTGATCCTAACCAACCTGTGATTCTATGAAACTCTAAGAAAAGCCCAGCTCTTTTTCTCAGCACATTCTAGGAAGAAGCAGCAGTGCTTTGTCAAGCTACACTGTATTTATACCAAAGTCTAGCTTCACTTTTCCAGTATCTTTTTATGCCAAATGCATTTTAGAAGAACATTATCAACACAGTCAAAAGGGTATAAAGATGGAGGAAACACCAGTTCTCTTTTACAAAGAGCTCAGCTTCCTGAAATACCTTTTGAGCTGCTCATGGTGAAAAAGCCTTTACGCAGCCCAACTGCCACAATACCATAGTTAGGGATGGAGAGCTTTTTGGCAAGTCTGTTTGCACGTGAAACGGACATAGGTTAGGAAAGGAAATGTCTGTGTAGAGACGTTTTAGGAATGGCGTGTTCTTCAGGGCGTGCTGCATGTTATTGTAGTTTCTACCCTCTACAGGCCAAATGTCAATGCTTCATGGAACATTACAGAGTATTAACGTTCACAGTGACATTACTCAAATGCTATAGTTACCCTCCCACAGGCTGGTTCTAAAAGACTCTTATCTTTAGAAATAGCAAGAGGGAGATTGCTTCCAAAACAGGAAAAAAAACCCCAAACCAAGCAGAGAAAACACCCACATAAAAGGCACTGGCTGCTCCAGGCAGGAGGCTGAGAGAACACAGGTAAAGGCACTGAGAACCAAATAATGTGCTGTAGGTACTGAGACTGCCATATTGTCACAACAAATCCACAGAGAGCGATTCACCAAATGCGGGTTAACTCACCCAGCTAAAAGAGACTATGTCATATTTTTCAGTTGTGAGAGAAAATAGAACAGGCATTTGCTGGAGAACTAGGGTATCACTAGTGATCTCTGCACATCCTTTCATTTGTGAGGGAGTAATATTTTGATCCTGGCTCAGGTCTGTATTTTGAAGGTCTTTTCAGCTCAGTAGGGTCAGTTTGGATGAGTTTCTACCCTGTTCTGTGCGAGCATGAAGCAGGGCCCCCAGCAATCGCAGAAGGGACAGAAACCCCCCCAGCATCAGCAGTGTACCTGAAACACTCTTCAAGAACTATACGCTTTATACTACTAATGCTGAACAAGAGGCAGCATTTCTCTAGAAATACAACCTTATTTCAGGATATGTTGCTTCCTATTTACTTAACATTCTTCTCCATTTCTACAGCACAGTGGCTGCCAGCATCAATGCTTTAGCAACTGTTACATTTGAAGACTTGGTCAAAAAAGGTTTCCCAAACCTCTCCGAGAAGATGAGCACATGGATCAGCAAAGGCTTGTGTAGGTACCATGGATGGGATCCATTTGTTTAGGGGCAAAGGTGTCCATGTCCCCCCACTGCTATTGCTACAGGAGAAAATGGGGCAGGATTTTATGTAGTCAGAGCCTTGGGACCCTCAACTGGCTGAGAGCAGTTCCGAGCGTGGTGAACGGTCTAGAGACACTCCTTCAGAACCACACTCGTGCTTTGGAAATCTCCACAGGAGCGTAACCCTTTGTCAACTCTCAGGATGAACGTCAGCACGATGCCTCAGCAAAATTAAGCACGTGCACGATGTGGCACATTACTCAGGTTCCTTTGAAAAGTTTTGTCTACTGAAAATACTGGGGGACACTCTGGGACCTTCTTTATAATGCAGAAAGAACATCAATTTAGGTATTGCCACATTACTCTATAGTAGAATTACTAAATATTATTATTTTATAAGACATTTCTATTCCAATTTAAGAGTGCCACATAAGTGGATTTTTCAGAGAAAAAATAAAAATATAAAAAAACCAAATTAAAACCAGATCATCCAAAGAGCTTTGAATTTTTAAGATGCTTTTTGCAAGTATTGCAGTAATATCATAACCCCTTTTATAAGTATTGTAACAATATCATAACCATTTGTTGATGCTGGCAAAGCTCACAGAAGAGCCAAGCCAATACTTTCTCTGTGAGTGTCTCCAACCATGTCTGTTACTGCTTTTCCACTTGCTACTCAATTTTTTCCACTCAGGACCTAGAAAGATCTTTTTTACCTGTGAAACCAAGGTGTGCTAGCCCAGAAGATGAGTTTTACTTGTCTTTCTTCAGGACTACTACACAGAAAGTTTTTTCTACCACAGCGTTAAAACTGGTATCAAAGAAAGCAAGCCACGTTCTTTAACATGGCTCAATTCACTCATTAGATTATTTTAAAAACATTATTTAAAGGCAGCAGAAACATTTCGACATGAGGCAAAATTCCTAAATTAATTTCATCGCTAAGTTCTGCTTCATAAAGAAAAATCCCAACCAACCAACAACCCAACAAAACCACGCAGGACGCTGAGGGGTGCTTCATGCTCCGCCTTAAGCATCAAAGCCTGAGGTGCAAATTCCTCCGTGCTGCCTGGTCACTTCAGACACCAGATGAATTAGAAATCATCCACACTGTTAACCAGCATGACAACCTCGCTGCCCGGTCTTTTCCAGGTATATTATATGGCGTCCTGTGCACTTCCATGGCTGCAGCAGCATCGCTGCTGGGAGGAGTTGTGCAGGTATCTTGTGCTTCAAAAATGCAGCCAACTGAACACATATTAACAGAAATGCAATGAACTGAATAATGCTGACATCCCTGGGGACTGCTAGATTACCTCAACAATTTCTGTGGACACTGCTGGGAGGAATAACTAAGGGAAAAAAAAAATCCCCCAACTCCTTCACCATTTACTGGGAAACAAATCTAAGCGAGATTGATTCTTTAATTGTGTCCTGAAATCGCTGTCAGTCCCTTCTCCCCCACCATTTCCCACTGAAAATTACATTCTGAAACTAGGACTCTGCGTGCTCCCTCCAGCTGCTGCACTAAGCTCCCGTCTGTCCTCTGCACCCACAGGCTTCCCTCTCCATCCACGGGATGTGTGGGGGGCCCATGCTGGGGTTATTTACCCTGGGAATCGTGTTTCCTTGTGCTAACTGGAAGGTAAGAAAAAAAAAATCCTTATCTAAAAGAAAACCCCTTGGTGTTGTTTGGTTAAAACTTCATCTCGAAAATTGTTTGGGTTTTTTAGATTTAATCTCCAGGCTGCTTTTCAGATTCAGAGCCTGAAAGAGTCCAAGAACTGCTCAGAGGTGCCTTTTCAGTGTCTGAATCTACCCCATTTGAATTTAACTCTACCCAAATGTGGAATAATTGGTGATTAGATCCACATGAAGGTGTTTTGAAATATTATTTTAATTTCTGAGTTTCTTCTCTTTCATTAAAAAGAAAAAAACATCCAATATTCACCTCAGCCTGTGTTCACCTGGGGATGCACAGAATGATTTCAATGGCTCTGCCTTTGCTCAGTCACAGCAAAACAGCACGAGCTCACCCCATATTGCCCTACACGCGGTCTCATCACGTTCATCCAGAAGTAAAACTAAACCCTGTATTGCAGTTCGGATCACCACGGTTTTGTTTCAGCTCTTATCACTAGAAGGCAATAAACCACCACGTTTTATGCCTTGGTTGAGAGAGAACAGAATTGATTTACCCTGTCCGAGCTGTAACCAGTCACCACTCACTCCCACGGAACTGACGTTCGCAGAGAAGCGCTTCCCACGCGTCACCTTTAACATCACCTTTTCCATACCTACCCAGGGTGCTGTCGGAGGCCTCTTATCTGGGATCACCTTGGCTTTTTGGGCTGGTACCGGCTCTTTCATTTACCCTGCACCACCGACAAAGTCCATCCCTCTGCAACTGTCAACTCTCAACTGCACGCTGGCTAACAGCACCGGCACGCTGATGGCTGCGGCTCCCACGGCAGCTCCAGACAGGTATTTTCCCTGATCGCTACCCCCTAAACCTGCGTTTTGGCAGAGCCTGCAGCGGGTGTCGGCGGGGCAGCCGGTAACCGCCGAGCGTGCCACGAGCATGGACCACGAGCTGTATTTTGCTGGCACGGTGGGGGCAGCAGGAACACACCCCTCTGGTCATCACCACCTGCTTCTTTCCCTTTTGTCACCTCTTCACAGGCCTTGGCTGGCAGAGACCTGGTACTCCCTGTCCTACCTGTACTTCAGTGCCATCGGCTGTCTAGGCTGTGCCATCACAGGGCTGTCAATAAGCTTTATAACAGGTTGGTGTTCACGTACCTAGAAACGCTTTTGCACAAGAATCCGACTCAAATCTTGAAAGAGCTTTAAGAACGTCCAGCAAGCGGCTCATGATGGATGTCTTCAAGGCCAGGTTGGATGTGGCTTGGAGCAACCTGGTCTAGTGGAAGGTGTCCCTGCCCATGGCAGGGGGGTTGGAACTGGATGGGCTTTAAGGTCCCTTCCAACCCAAACCAGTCTGTGATTCTATGATTCTATGAGAGGGCAGCATAAGCCGATCCTGCTACCCCCACCTCATGCTCCGGGGCTCCCAAGGCTCACACCTAACTTTTCCACAAACTCAGGTGTCCTTATTGTCTCTTTCCAGGGCCTAATAAGGGAGAAGATATCCCACCCGTGTTAATTAAGCCGGTCTGCGACCTCTGTTGCTTCTGGTCAGCAAGACTGAGAGCCTTCCTCTGGTGCGGCGTGCGGCACGACAGCCAGGAGGTGAGTGCCCAGCCCCCAACTCAGCCCCGCCGGGGCGGGGGGCCCACGAAGGCGCGTGGCGAGCGTGTTAGCGCCCAAACATCCCTTCCGGACATGACGCATGGGACGCCGCGTAGGGACTGCGGGCTGGAAAGGGGATGAGCCAAACTCTCCTTCTCAGCGTCAGTCAGTCATAAGTCACCTGCTGTCCCTGTTTACACAGCACACGGGGCCGTGGGGCCTCCGGGACAAAGAGC